TCTTTATTCAGAGAAACAAGAACCAAGATGAATGAATGAAGGTTCTCATTAAATTATATGTACAGCAGAACCTTAGCATACAAAAAAGCAAAAAATAAAATTGGAATATAAAATGCTATTTTGAGAAATGTAATCTATTATTTATAGCCTACCGTTTTGAGTAAGTGAAAGCTATGGAAATAATGTATTTATCCCTATTAAAATTCTCAAATTAGAAACAAATTGTGACAGCATTGTATCCAAAATTGTATGACATTTTTCTTAAAATTATTTATTCACTCACTAGTCCAACAAATATTTATTGGGAATCTATTTCCAACAGGGTACTAGGCTAGACACTATGATATATGACATAATTTCTGTCCTCAAGAAGCTTCCTGGCAAATATTCTTTCATCCTCCACTTCAAGGAATAAAAGGACATTTTTGTACTAGGTAGCCAAAGAATTATTTGGGTTCCAGTTTTAAATTATGCAATAGTCTAGCCACCATAGTATTTGCATGCTGAAAGTATATTAAGTGCATTTGTTGAAACAACAGGCCAGCTTCTCCTCTAAAAGATTTCCCCTTTTTGTACTGTAATTCTGCCTTACAGATAGCATTCTTTTAAAAGGAGGCTTTACAGCTTTGGAAGAATAAGCTGATTTCACAGCCAGTTTTGCCACTGCTATGGAAAACAGGCTGCATATGCAAGCCAGCTGAAGTCATCTGAACTGAAAAGGATTAGAGCTGCTGCAGCCGCCGATGCTGTCAAATAGCAATTGGAAACAGTTCCTCCAAAGTGCTGCATGAAAAAAATCAGGAATTCCTGTCCACAATTCCCCAACCCGTTGGATTTTTAATCAAAGCTGGCAGAATATATTGTAAATTGGAAATAAGCAAGTGGTGATGAAATCAAAAAGAAGAACCTTCCAGACTTTAGATTATGGTTGTTTCAGGCTTCTTTCCAGGTCCATCACTATTGTCATCCACCAATTAATTAAGGCATAATCTGTGCCTGGAGTAAATGGCCCTGGAAATTTCACTCCAAAGAGAAATGGTTAGTTATTAGGTCCATACCACCCCCATAATGTGGAAGCACTCACAAACTTCTCTTCTTATTATTATTAACATTCAGCTACCTTAATCTAACTTTTTTTAGTGATATTTTATTAGGCTATAATAGAATGTCAAAAAATCAATCAATTAAATGTAAAGAAATAGAAATATTTCTTACCAACTCACTTTTAGGGAAAAGAGGAAAATATTGATAAAAATAACCAGATGCCACTTAGTTTAAAAAAAAAGTTTTGTCTTGGGATATTTATAGATTCAACCATTTATTACCTGTGTGATTTGGGGCAAATAACTTCTTTAGACCTCAGTTTCCTCATTTTTAATTGAGGGAATGTAGACTTTGACTATATGAATCACCCTCTTGGATATTCTCTTCCTTCTCCTGGACATCTCCAATTCATCCTGTACCTATCTTGTTTGTACATAGTTGTTTTCTTGTTGTCTCCCTATTAGTCTGAACTCCTTAAGATTATGTTTTATCTTTCTTTGTATCTTCGCATAGGAGCACTTACTGCGGAGCCTGGCACACAGTAGGTGCTTACTAAATGCTTGTTGATTTATTGATGAAATGAACACTGAAGTATCTTACTGCTCTGAATACTGTGACAATAAAAATCTCTCCCATTATCTTTCATAATCACAACTCTCAGAGTCAGCAGGGATCTCAGAGGCCATCTAATCAAATCCATACATGAGAAAGAATCAACTCTACAATATTGTTGATAAGTGGTCAAATGCGAAGGAGAAAAATATGAGTATGACTGTTCTCCTGCCCAAACTAGTGGGAAAGAGAGAAATAACCTCAGGAAATCTCCATCTTTAAGCTCTATCTGCCATTTTTGGTCTATTTCAAACAACTAGAAGGTAACTTGGTGTCAATTAGTCCAAGGTACCCGAGCAGTAAGTCATCTAATACCATTCCTCCTAGTTCTGCCTTCTAGTGTCAAGAAAATCAAGTATAACCTTTCTTTCATATGACAGCCCTTCAAAACCTTGAAGTGACCTGCCTAAGGTCACATAGGTAGTTCAAGGACCACAACTGGAAAGAAAAGCATTACTTCAATAATTCTGTTTTCATTATACAGAAGGATTTTTAGATAGATTTGTATGTTTTACTGAGTTAGTATCTGATGGCAGAAAGTGAAGAGGAATTAAGAAATCTCTTGATGAGGGTGAAAGAGGAGAGTATAAAAGCTGGCTTGAAGTTTAACATCAAAAAAACATAAGATCTTGGGAACCAGTCCCATCACTTCCTGGCAAAAAGAGGAAGAAAAAAGGGAAGCAATGTCAGATTTTCTATTCTTTGGCTCAAAGATCACTGGAAATAGTGACTGCAGCCATGAAATTGAAAGATACTTGCTCCTTGGAAAGAAAGGAATGGCAAATCTGGACAGCATACTAAAAAGCAGAGACATCACCTTTCTGAAAAAGGTCAGTACATTCAAAGCTATGGTTTTGCCAGTAGCAAGGTATGGCTGTGAGCATTTGACTATAAGGAAAGCTGAGCACCTCAGAATTAGCACTTTTGAACTGTGATACTAGAGAAGGATCTTCAGAGTCCCTCGGACAATAAGGAGGTCAAATCAGTCAATGCTTTAAGAAATTAATTCAGGCTAGTCCAGAGGTGGGGAACCTGTGGCCTTGGGGCCACATGTGGCTTTCTAGATCCTTAATCTTTTTAATAAAAAGATTTGTTCTGTAAAATTTGGATTCAGTAAAAAGGCCAAATTTAAGGATCTAGATTAGTCACTGGAAGGCCAAATATTGAAGCTGAAGCTTAAATACTTTGGCTACATAATGAGAAAATGGAACTCATTAGAAAGGATTCTGATGTTGGGAAAGATTGAAGGCAAAAGGAAAAGGGGACAGCAAAAGATGAGACAGATAGTATCGTGGAAACAATGAACATGAACTTGGACAGAATTTGAAAGATAGTGGAACATAGAAAGGCCTAGTGTGCTATGGTTCACAGAGTCACAAAGAGTTGGACACAACTGAATGACTGAATAACATAGTTGATCTAGTAATTCCCTCCATAGTCCATGAACTTAGTAGGTCACAATTTATACTGGGCTTGTATTGGTGTCATTGAACTTAGGATTTCCCTTCTAGATCAAGTATGTCAATTCTCCTTATATACTTCTCTCCTTATCTTTCTCTAAAAATAATGACTGTCATCCAACATATTAAATATCTCTCCTATTTTCAGATGCCATCTACAAATATGACAAACCTGCCTATCTTGGGATTGGAAGGAAACAATTTCCAACTATATCTTAAGTCCTTATTGATTAAAAATTTAAACTCACAAATAATATACTAAGGCCCTGAAATATTTTCATTTGTCAAAGAATAAATCATATTTAAAGCACATTTACTAAATCCAGAAAAGACACTAACACTATAGTTAGTAACAAAAAAAAAGTCTGTTAACTATATTAATATTAATTACTAGTGTATTACATTCAGTGCAACAACTTTGTTATTTGTATAGTATTCTGTTAGGTACATGGAGTAATATAAAGTGAATCAGTTGTAACTGACATGGTGAGCTTTTATTTTAAAAATGAATTCTCTCCCTGATTTGTAATTCCCAGATGAAGTCTGTTGCAATTAGATTTTTAATGCTGACAAAAATCCATCAACAACCTCCTGAAGTTTATACAAAGAATGATGTCAGTAAATAGAGAGTATGAGATGGAACTGTGAAGTTTCAGTTTTTAAAAAAATGGACCCTCGTAGCTACTGGGTGAAATGAAAAAACAGCAAATAACAAGTAAGGGCCCTGCCTTTGGTTAAGAGACCTGAAAAAGAAATTCCCACAAGGCTGGCAAAGAATTTTGACTCTTAAAGAAATTATAATGCTCACTTGCTTTGTAATCCAAGTGGTTTCTTAAAAACATTTTTTAGATTTGGTTTGTGTATGATGCTTCTGTACTTTAGGAAGATTACTTCTCTAAAGGATGAGGGAAGAGGATTTTTCCTTAACTGAGAATTAACTAGAAAATGCAATTAAACTGAAACAGTTCATTCCCTGTTGTTTTTCCTGATGTAATGGGAAGTTTTTATTTTTCATTTTCTTTTATTGATTTTAATTATTCAGAACTCAGGGCCTTTCCTTCTGCAACTTTTGGTTAACTGAAATTCTGTCTTCTGTTAATATTAACCTCTCCTAACCAAAATCTATCTGACTCATGGAATAATAATAGAATTTTTTAAAAAAATCTCTCGACCTTGCTGAGATGTGAAGTCAAGAGGAAGAAGGGAATACATCTATTAATAGCCTCCCAAAAATAATTTATTTGTGGAAGAATTGTCCTGACACCAACTTGTAAATCCCCTCCTTTCAATTAGCTCATCGTGACTTCTTTGAAAGGTAGCCTTGTAGTTTTGTAAGAGTAGGATTTTGCAAACTCAGTGTTTAATCTGTAACCTGACTTATTTTACCCAAAGAATCTGCTTAACTAGGTTTGTTTCCACAGAGGATGTATGAGAGTACAACTGCTTAACTAAGTCTATTCAATTTTTATGACATTGAAGGAAGCAAAGGATTATGAATCTGTCTTTTCTTTAACCTTTATGGTCTAAGAGAAATGTACAAGATTTCGCCTCCAAGCCTAATTTCAGCTCTGATGCTAACCCTAATTTCTCTGTCACTCTGATGGAATTTTGTCTATAAGACTCTTTGTTAGAATCCCAATAGGGGCTCAGGTTTATTTATTTATTTTTTTTGGACTGAGATTTGAACCTATGCTCAAATGCAATAATAAAATCTAGGTTTTTTCTTACATTTATAATTTCTGCACTATGGTAGATTTATTTTAGCAGCACTTACCTATCACATGAACTCAAAGAGAAGTTATTTCTCCCATAACATTGACGATTTTTTTTAAAAAGTGTACTATAACAACAACAAGCTATGCAATTTGGAAGGAAGTGACTTACCTTTTTCAATACATATTTTTTGAGAATTTTAAGGACATAGTAACCCCAGTAGAGATGAAGGACTTGCAGGATCAAGAGTTGCACATTGAGGAAAATGTATGAAAAGAAAGGCTTAAGATAATGTAGAGGTAGAACCAATGTGCAATATAAAATCCTGAAAAACAAAATAAGAAATGAGAAATTTCTGACAACATAAGTGTCTTCCCCCTGCCCCCACCCTGCTTTAAAATCTCAGGAAATTTCATTTATAAATTTGGAATAAGAAAATAAACACTATTTTCCTCCCAGACAAAAAACTCTCATCACCTCTCTATTTCTAGCATACATTCAATAGGAAACCATACTGCCATACTCCCTTTTCTAGTAAGTAACAAAAGAAATAACACTTCCATAATCTTGGAAGATAAATTAAAGTAGAATACTTTTTTTGGAGTTATAATGCAGTGATGCCTTAGGGACTAGTGAGGCATGAGTGTCTATCAACTGCTAAGAACTGTCCTTTCTCAGCTCTCTAACAGTCCCCCTCCTTCTTCTGATTTGTTGCCTCTAATCTGTAGCGGGGTTAGAAAGGGAGAAAAAGAAAAAATTTGAAACTCAAAAATTTTTAAAAATGAATGTTAAAAATTGTTTTTACATGTAATTGAGAAAAATACATTTTAAAATTGTACATAAAATAAGATTATTGATTTAAATCTAGAGATTCAGACTTAGAAAGTCCACTCCCATCCCTGTTTTGACTTATTTCTAGGTGATTTTGATTGCCAGAAGTCTGGCTTCAAGGTTGATGGAGCATTATTATATTGTTGTTTATCCCTCTTTTCCAAATTTAGAAGAATATAGGGTGTGGAGACACCCATTATTTTATTCAGAGAGATTAGAATCAAGGCTCTATCCTGGCCCCTCTTCTTTCTTTGTTTTCTATTGTCTCATTTAGTGATCTCAGTTCCCATGAGTTCAATTATCATGCCTATACATATAATTCCAAAATCTATATATCTGGTTCTACTCTCCTGAGCTACAGTCCCACATTCCCAACTGCACCTTCAATATCTTGAACTAGATGTCCTATAAACATCTCAAACTCAACATATCCAAAAGAGAACTTATGATCTTTCTACCTAAACTCCCCTTTCTTCCCAACTTCCCAATTATTTTCTAGGACACAATTATCATCTCAATAACCCACGCTTACAACGTAGGGATCATCTTTGATTCTTCACTTATACTCATCTAATATATTACCAAGTCTTGTTGAAACTACCTACACAGAATTTTGTATACATCCTCTTCTCTCAATTTACACAATCCTGGTGCAGACCCTTATTACCTAATGCCTGGATTATTGCAATAGCCTTAATGCCTCCTTACCTCAGGTCATTTAAAAAAATGAATGTTAATTTTTTTTTCTAATTAGAAAATGAAAGTTAATGAAGGAAAGTTATGACAAATCGGGACAACAGGAAGGGTCCTTAGAGATCATTTAGTTTGACCACCTCATTTTTCAGATGAGGAAACTGAGGCCCATAGAAGTAAAATGACTTATTAATGGTCACTCAGGTATTAAGTAGCAGAGGCTACTAGAGTCACTTAATGTGACTCCAAATCCAGTGCTCTTTCCATTGTACTTACTATCTTAACTATTCATTGACTTGGAAGCAATTTACATTTTTAGCAACATATGGAGAGTACAGAACATATATAACAGTCTATAAATGTATGAATAATTAAAATGAGAAAGGTAACTAGCCATCTTATACCTCTAAGAGTACAAAAAAAGGGCTAGAATTACCACACAAAAGGCTATAGTTTAGATAATTAAAACAAACTTTTGAACTACACAATTCATGAGAGTATGAAAGAAACTTTTTAAAGAATAGGTTAGATAATTCTCTCTTTGATATTTATAGAGCAACATTGCCCAGAGTCAGGGGAATAGCCTGAATTTTTTTATACTATGAGTCCCTGATATTGTTTCCATGATACATTAGCATAAATAAAAATCCCTCCCCCTCAAAGATATACAAGTTAATTAATGAATAGAAGATTATGAAGAAATTAGGTTACTAGGTAATTAAATGAAAATAATTGCCTTTATGCCTGATACTGTTAGGACCAAAAACTTTTAGAAAAACAATGTAAGGAATTTTTATTTATTTTGAGGACATGGTTATTAGTAAGGCAAAGGGAAGAAAGAAAGGGAAACCAGGTTACACACAGAGAAGAGGGAGATATGTAAGAGAAAATTAAAGTAAAGTAGAAGTGAAAAGGGTTTAGAAAAGGAAGGACAGGAAAAAACAAAATTTTTTTTATGGGATAATATTTAATTTTTATTTATTTCTCAGGGCTATGGGTCCTCAAGAACTATCTAAATTAGGCACAAGCACTGGTCAGCTGGGATCCTTTCTTGTCCTGCACCCCTTCTTTCTATATTATTGGGGCTGTGATAGGGAATCAAATACTATATTGTAGATTCCCTCTAAAACCCCCACCATAAGTGCCACCAAAGTGAATTCTTCCAGATGATCTGCCCTAAAATGATATATGGGGTTACAAAGTTCATTTTATACATAAGTGTATAAAACCAACCTAACAAAGGAGGAGAAAAAAAAATTCTCTTCTCACGGTGACCACTGCAATTGTGCATAAACTGCAAAGCCACACTGACTAGCAAACTCCAGGATTACAACATGGTGAACTTTCCAAAAGAACCTTTAAGCATCTATATTATAGTATGTTGACTGCTCTACAATTTCTACAGTCAGATGAAATACTTTCTCAGCTTAGTAATGAGTGAGGCTCACTGGACTTCAACAAGAGGAATTTTGTAGATCAGTTGAGACTTCAAAGTCTATTTCATAGTGATTAAACTCCCAGAAAGCAGTAAGAACTGAAGAGAATCGCACTCCGAAGCAGGTTCTGAAGGAAGTAAGAGTTGAAAACATGCCAGATGTGTCTTATCAACTCAACTTGAACCCCAGAAACCATGGCAAGTGGCTGGGGCTTAAAAGTATAGGATTGATTACCAAGGGACACAGACACACATTTGATGAATCTCACCTTTGACCTACATGTTTAGATTAGTGGTTATTGTTATACAAATGATGTTACTTTAACAGTACATAGATATGTAGGTAGAAACTAGTTGCAAATCAGTACTTTTCTTATAAACATGGCTATCATTTTTAAGATATATACACTTACTCATCATAAACAACTGTATAATGCCAATACCTTCTGCATTAATCAAAATTAAAGTTACTGTTAAGGTAACATCATTTGTGTTACAATAATCACTAATCTAAACATGTAGGTCAAAGGTGAGACTCACCAAAACTATATCTTAATCAGTAAGAGATTTGAGAATGAAGCTCAGACATTTTCTGAATTTGATGTCACTTTAAAAGCATAAATTACCTTCATTTTTTCTTCATTCAAATAGGATTTTGTTCTCCTATCTAAGATCTGATTTCAGCTTTTACTAGGTATCACTTAAAACAGGTGTGCCAAATTTTACTCTAGACTGAACTCTGATTTCCTCTAAACCCCTAAAGAAAATGTCTACCATGATCAAGATACCTAAGAATAATTAACAAAACACTTCTGGTTCACTGGGGGAAGAGAAGTTGCGGAGGAGGGAGGGATAGTGCTCATAGCACCCTGATGTCTGGCTCCTTTATTCAGTGGCTATATGCTGTAGTGTTGTAGAAAATACCCAAAGCTAACTAATGTCCAATTAGAATTAGTCCTATGTGGCAAGTCAGTGTCCTTGAATGCCAGTGCTGCCAGCTAAATATTAAAATCGAACAACAGCATTGACCTATCTGCTAAGATTATCTGACATTTAGGTTGGAAGGAAAATACGTGCTGGACCAAACACATGGTTCTGGATAGTTCTCTCCAACTCACCTGTGGCTTCTTTACTACTAATGTGTCTTTTTGATTTATGCCAAGATACACATGTAGAATTATGTTTATGAGAGGAAAGACTTTCAAGAGAGATAAGATATTGGTTATTCTCTGCCAATCCTAATACTTGTTTTCCCAATTTCCATTTACCTTTCCATATATATGCTTAGGTGAACAATGCCTTCTTTGGCAATGATCCCTATGCAGACAAGCTTTATGGCTGGGTCAAGATAACATATCAGTTACATCTATGACCAATGGCAAATACCTCTTATGAAAATATGCTGATGTTCCAGATGGAGCAGATGGAGAAACTACAAGATTCTCAGACAGATCCATGTTCATTAAGGGAGAACCTCTAGAGTGAACATAAGAACTTACTGCAACATATTTCTTTGCTAATGTACTTTCCATTTTAGTGCTCCCAATTGGTGTCACTCCTAAACTATACTTCCATGTTCTATCTGTTACACTGAAATGCTAGGGTTGTGTTTTTTTGTTTTTTTTTCACAATGGCTTGAGGTGTGTATGTTGTGTTTGGCCATGGTGGGAATGGTTCTTCAATGGAAGTTGCTTCCATAATAAATAAAAGACTCCATATTTTTTCTTCCATCTTATTTCATACATTCATAGCTAGAGATCAACATTCTTGTTAGGGAAAGAAAGGTGATGAAGCTCTTCAACACCCTGCTATAACCTACCTCAGCAAAATTAAAGACAGGAAAACTAAATTTCACAGAAATGTGATAGCAAATAACCTTGGCCTACTTACCAGAAGGGGAAAATTACTAGGCGGGTAATAAAGAACACAGCAGCAAAGATGAAAAATAAAGTGTTACATGTTTGCTTCCATCCAGCATAAGAAAATATTTTAGCAGACTGAAACAAAACAAAGAAAATTCATTCAAAAACAGGTCAACAGACAAACTTTCAACAACACTTGCAGAGGCAGCTTTAGAATAATTTAATTTATGCATTGAATATCTCCATCCAACACAGAAAGAGGCCAAAAGATGTTAAGAGAAAAATGATATGGTAGGTGTGGACCTGACTGTAATTAAATAGGTTACAACAGGCATAGGTCATAGAATTAGAGAGTTAGTAGAGACCTCACAGACTATCTAGTCCAACCCTCTCATTTTATAGATCAGGAAACTGATGCCCAAGGACATTAAATGATGTGCTCAAGGTCATAAATATTATTAGAAGTAAGTTGGAAGCCACGTTCTCTGAATTGCAAGACAGGCAGCCTTCCTTTCCCCCTTCTTTTCTTTTTTCCTTCCTTTCTTTCCTCCTTTCCCTCTTTCCTTCTTTTCTTTCTTTCCTCCCTCATTCTTTACTTCCCTCTTTCCTTCCTTCTTTCTTTTTTTTTTCTCCTTCTATCTCTCCCTCCTTCCTTCCTTTCCTGGATCTCCCTATCTTGCTCAAGCAACAAATATAACAGCCACTCATGGGTCTGATCCCATTACTGATCAGCACAGGAGCTTTGATCTGCTCCATTTCCAACCTGGGCCAGCTTCCCTCTCCTTAGGCAGCCTGATACCACCTCCCACCCCACTTCATTATATTGGTGCAAGACTTGGTGCAAACACCTGATCTGCTTAGCCCATGGCAGGTCAAGCAAACCATCAGCCTTAGTCTCCCCAGAATCAGGTATTATAGGTATGCTTACCACAGCCTGCCACCAATGCTCTTTCTACTGTGGTTGGAGTGAGGCAGTATTCTTCATAGCCCTACTGTATACTGAAATCAACCATGAAAAACTGATTTGTCTTGTTTGTCTTATGTTAACACATGCTGTTTATGTTCATCGTGTTTACTGGGAAGGACTCATGATAAGTCCCTTAGTGTAGAAGGAAAGTTAATGTGCTATGGTTAATTCATTCAAGGTTCATTCACGTTATTGTTTGGCAGTCACTTCAATCATTTCTACCTGTTATTGCATTTGATATTTTGGTTGCTAACATCTGAACTGACTTTTCTTCTTATCTGTCTTCTGTTGGTTTTAGGAAGTAGGCTGGGCTTTCATACTGGAGGAGGAACAGAGGAAGACCACAGAGAGTAGAGACACCTAGAGCGCAGCTCATCATAAAATAAGTATAGCATGAGCCAGAAAAGGGGGTCTTCAAAGTTTAGATTAGTTCAAATATGCAACATATTTGAAGAGTAAGGATTTGGATTTTATCACTTGCATATCAACTAGGTGAAAAAAAGATCCAGACCTTGGGACTGGCATTTTGAAAAAAAAAAAAAAAAAAAAGGAATAGTAAACTCTTAGATTTTTTAGGAGGTTAATATGGAGGCTATATAATTAACCTAATACAATTAGAAGGCTAATATAATAATATATGCAATAGTTGGGATGAGGGTACAATGCAAAGAGAAAATAAGTTTGGAGCAACAAATGTGGACAGGATGGGATGGAATGGAAGTAGATTGGGATATGCATAAGAATGTGGAAAGAATCATAGCAGACCAAAATTAGGATTGGCAAGAATGTACTAACAAGAACTTGTACAAGTACAAAAAGGCAACCCTTCTAATTTATCTAGTATTTATCAGGCCCTTCTTAAAGTATCAGGCCTCTCTCCTCTGAGCCATGCTGTCTCCCAATGGGAATGATATTTCATTATAATGTTCCCTCCCCAGGGCATTAATATCTCACTCTCCTTAGGAAATAGCAGTTTAGGGGGAGAAGTAAGATTTATATGTAAGGCATTCAAAAGGTGTAGAAATCCTCTCCCTTCAAGTTCCAATCAAGGATTAGGGTTGAAGTACACTTCAGATCTACTACTTTCCAAGATCATTAAAATGAAACTTTATATAAATCTAAAAATATTATCATTATATGGTTCTGAAGTATTAGAAGTTCCTATGGATTTAATATATTAGGTTAAATATGAATATAATTTAAAAGATATGTAGAAATATTAAAGAAAATTATATCAGTAATGTTTAAACAGATATACAAGAGGTCCTCAGAAGAAGAATTATAATAGCTAAGATTGTTTAACTGAAATAAAGGAAGGCTAAGAAAATATTGTCTTCAGGTATATGAAGGCTAGTCAGCTTTCATTCAAGGCAGGTCCATCAGACTAAAGGAACTCTATCTCTGCAAGGGTCCAAATGGAGGCAAAAACTGCAACAGTTAGCCATAAGTGGGCTGGTGATTTAGAAAAAAATATATCCAGAGAAGTTCTGTAATCTCCATCCCTGAAGGACTTTAAAAACAGGGCATGCCTTAGATAGTAAAATATTTCCTTGTCTAGATTATCTTTTAAGGTTCTTTTTAGTCCTATGAGTCTATGGATCTGCTATGATTCCTCTAGTCATATGTTGTTATCTGTTATCAGTATATTTTTAAAAAATCTGTGCTTAGTGATTCTTTTTTTTTTTAAAGAAATCTTATGCTTTTCAATCAAGAAGTATTCATAGTCACTGGCAAAATGAAACAAAGGACTTTGAGGATTATAAATACATGACATTACATTTCTCTTCTTGACAACCATGGGCCTCAAATCCTTTTCAAGTATTAATCAACTTAAGTTCACAATGTATTCCACGTGGTATTATTAATAGCCCCATTTTACAGTTGTGGAATAGAAAATGAAGTATTAAGTGATCTACCAAAGCCACAATGGGAGTAAGTGACCATGTCAGGCATAAAGCGTATTCCTTGTCCCAGGGTCTAAGTCTCCTCCATTAAGATAATAAACCTGTTATTTCAGTAGATAATGTTGAAAACACAAGTGTATCAGTAAGTTTAGTACTATCAAAGTAGTACATAATTTTGAAATCATTGTGAACATGATCTTTTTTTTTTAGGCAAATGTACAGTGATAATTAAAGGATTTGATGGATGAAGGAAGAAAAGGAAGAAGAATTTTAACATGTATGGCTACATTTTCAGAAAAACACACGGGAAATTTAACACATTGTTTACATTGCTGAGCTATCACTTTTCTTATGCATATACAATATGAGAAAAAAAGATTTATTTGCATGCTTATTGAGCACAATTTAGAAACAATTCCTAATTCAGCTAATATTTTCTATGTAATAATGTAAGTAGCTCTTAAATAAATCCAGCTGACTACCCTGCAACACTTATTCTAGTAGAACATGGTTTATTCTACTAATTGAAATGTACTGTAGATCAATCAATATTCAGTTCGAAGTCATGTGAAGCAGGTTGACTGTATTCACTGTGTTCATCATTAGCCTAAGTATATTTTAATGAAGACTAATGATGGACCTAGAAACACTCTTCTTAATAACATCATTCAACCAAAACTGCTCTCACCAAAGTTACCAATGGTCTTTTTTTTCTTGATTCAATCTTCTCTCTAGGTTTCCATGACACTACACCATCCTAGTTCTCCCTGTATTTGTCTGACTATTCCTTCTTAGTCTTCTTTGCTATTTGCTTCTTCTCTATTTATACCAGTCATGGTGGGTGTTCCCCAGGACTCCATCCTAGGCCTTCTTCTCTTCTCCCTCTCTACTACTTCCCTTCATGATCTCATCAACTCCCATAGATTCAGTTATCATCTCTATGCTAATGTTTCTTAGATCTACTTAACCTCTTTCTTAACCTATAGATTTGCATCTCCCACTGCCAATTAGATTCCTCAAACCAAGTATCCTGTAGACATCTTAAACTCAATATGTCAAAAACTAAACTCATTATTTTTGATCAAAACCCTCGCCCTTCTGAACTTTCCTATCATTATTCTCAGTCAAGGTGTCATCCTTTACTCTTCACTCTCTCTCAGCCCTCTCATATCTAATCTATTGCCAAGTCCTATCAATTTTACCTTTTTAACATTTCTTATATATGTCCCTTTCTCTCCTATGTCATTATCACCATCCTAGTGCAGCCCTTCATCATGTCACAACTGGATTATTGGAATAGTCTGGTTGAGCTCCATCACAAGTCTCTTCCCACTTCTGTCCATCTTCCACTTAAGCTGCTAAATTAGTCTTCCTAAAGTATAATTCTGACCATGTCACCACCATACTCTACCATTCAATAAAACCCCAGTGGCTCTCTATCACTTCCAGGATCAAATATAAAATTTTCTATTTAATTCAAAGCCCTTCAAAATCTAGTCCCCTCCTTCTTTTTCCAATCTTCTTACACATTACACTCTCACTTTACCCCACTACACACTCAGCAATCTAGTGACGCTGGTCTCTTTCCTGTCTTTACACAAGATTCATTTTACAGTTGCAGGAATTAAGACCCAGAGAAGTTAGATGACTTGCCCAAGATCAAATACGTAGTAAAAGGCAGTCTTTTTGGGTTCTGAGTCACTGAACCCAGGTCATTTGTGTCCAGATCTAAGTTTCTCCACTGCACCAATGGGAAAGAGCTTTCATTATAATGTTTCCTTCCCAGGGCATTAATATCTCACTGTCCTTAAGAAATAGCAGCTGGGATAGGGAGGAGAGTAAGATTTACACTTAAGACATTCAAAAGATGTAGAGATCTTCTCCTTCAAGTTCCAACCAAGAATTAGAGTTGAAGTACATTTCAAATCTACTGCTCTCCAAGATCATTAAAATGAAGCTTTATATAAATCTAATCATATAAATCTTCATATAAACCATTATATGGTTCTGAAGTATTAGGAGTTCCCAGGGTTTAAGCTTAAGCCCATTATATAATAACCATAGCTATCCTCAGAAATGTCAGGTGATGGAGGGGGAAAGAAAACTGAACTTGCAAGGTGGAAAACTTCTGTAGATGCTTTAATACAAGGAACTTCAAAAAAAACTTTGGAAAATCTGAGAGAAGCAAATCAGATGGGGATTTAGAAGGTTTCTTTCCTTCCACTCTGTTTCCCATATCTACTCCAGATAAAAGGGAACAGAAACAAGAAAAAGACAATAAGAAAAAAAAGTAAGGAAAAGAAAGATGGAAAGGAAGCTGTGAATGACTATCTGGAGTGTCATTTAAGGCTCAAAGAAATGGTTTAGAATTCAAGTCTCCCTCCTCAAATCTGAAACATCATTTTACTCCCAAATGACAACATTAGTTTTCTGCTAAAGGCATGAACCTTACACAGGTGCAGTCTCAAGATGATGGGGGCTAGAAAGGATAGCACAGTGAATTTAATTCAATCCTCTCATTTTACAAATGAGGAAACTGAGGCCCAGAGAGATTAAATGACTTGCCAAAGATCATATAGGTATTAAGAGGACTACCTAGGAAATGAATCCAGGTTGTTCGACTCCAGATCAAGCATTCTTTTCAGTGTAACACACTTCCCCTGAACTCAAACTGAAAATCAAAATGAAACCTCTTCCAAGTTATCCTCCTTGCTTTTGTCTATCTGAATCTATGAAACTAAAGAATAATTATAAACTAAATAAGACAAAAAGGTCCATGCAAGAAATCTAAAGAGTTCAAAATTCTTGAAAGTACTGTGTCCAGGATTGAATAAGAATAAAAATGAAGAACTGAGAAAAGGCTCATAAGCAACATTTTATTGGGAATAAAAATTCAGGAAGCCAAATTTGTTTAAAATTTCAAATGTTTACCTCAAGCCAAATGTCAGCAACATCATGGACAAGCATCACCAATGTCCCACTACGAATATAATTAATACACCAAGAGAAGCTCATCAAACTTAAAGCAGCCAAATGATGGATGACATGGGCCAGAAAATCCTAAGCAAATAAGTAAATAGACAAATAAACAAATGAATTTCAAGACTGACAAGCAAGTAATTACCTAAGAAAGGCCATTATCATCATATTATTCCACTGCTTAGAACACTGGGTGTGTATATCTATAGGCATGTGTGTATGTATATACATATAAATACAGATTGTTTCATCAACTTTTATCAATGTATATCTATAAATGTCACTTTAATTTTATACATATGTACATACACACACACATATATCTATATCTATATCTATAGACATATATTGTCCCAAACATCTTAGTGTGGTTTTAAACTGTAAAGCTGTGATAAGAATTCTGGAATATCCTATCCATATAGTTATCTATCTACACACACACAAACATATTAATTGGTATCCCTAAGATGAGTTTTTGTTAATAAGTAGATCTCTAGTATATTGGGTAGATCCTTTATGGAGAATTAATGGGAAAATATGAAAAAAGGATCATACAAAATAAGAAAGTACAGAAGGGTTTATGATCTAAATCAGTTGAGAGACTAGCCATACCAATGAAATCACAGATCCATCAAAGTGTACATATAATTTGTGTTTATACATATATGTATGTGTATATATGTGTGTATATACATAGATGTTTATGCACACATTAATTAACTGTTCACATTTATATAGTACTTTAATGATTACAAAACTCTGCTGCTTCATTATCTCACATTTATGTTTTTATGTGAAGGTACCCAATTCCTCTTAAAATAAATGAAATGGAAATAGACCACCACAAAACTAATTGCAAAAATGTACTAGCCCCATCATTTTATGATTTGTCTATGTGACATACTTGTTGCTGCTTTTAAGAGAATTCTTCATTTCAACTCACAATAACTGGACCACAATCACTTCCCTATCAAATATTTACCAAAAGAAGAAAGATAACCAACATAGTACAACTAGTAGTATGCCATACTACTATCATATATAGAGAAACTATGAAACTAAAGATGTCCTGAAACATAAATTTTAAGTTAGAGTTTTTGAAGACACTAATAAGGAAGTTTTACATGTGATACTTGCCTTTCTCTTGACATCAGAACCAAGACTAAACAGCAGAGACCAATAAAAACTCATCTCTAAAATGTAGTACCAGTACTGAGATGGTAGTAATGGCTAAGAAAAAGAAAATATTCATTACTTTTTATATATAAAAATATTTATTTAATGGTATTATCTGTGAAATTCAGGAAATGGACTGCTTCTATAAGGACTAAGGATATAAAAATAATATGTCTTTGTTAATCATAATTTATAAGTGATTATTAAAAGCTACCTTATGAAATCTATTATTTAAGGTCAAAGGCATGTGTGTTAACTAAGGTGGCATCCCTGCTTACCCCTCCCAAATTTCCACTGATTAACTAATTAACATTATGGAATGTTTTCTGACTAAAAGCCCATGAGATGTTAAATACTCTTTAGAGCCTAGTACCATAAAATCATAGAATCACAGATAGCCTTGAAAAGGATACCAAGTCATTTAGTCCAGCTCCTCCATTTTCAGATGAAAAAATAGGTCCAAAGAAGTTATATGGCTTACTCAAAATCTCATAGGTATTTAAATGTCAGAGTCAGGATTTGAACTCAAGTCCTTTGCCTCTACAGTCAGTGTTTTTTCCACTGTCCCACACTGTCTCTCAAGAACATCTGCTAAGAGGTCCACTGAGGTCAGCCCCATGCACGAGCAGAGTAGACAGTCACCCATGTAGCATAATTTGAGAGACTTAGCAAAGTCCATCTAACCAAGAATATGCCTTCTATCCATCTAGTATCAGCATCTTTGATTCCCACAATTACAGCTACACCTTAATAACTTTCTGAGTTAAGACATTATATGTTACATATTAACATAGGTTAATTTATCTGATTAACTTATTAACATTCATTATTACCTAGTAAAAAAAAGTCCAAGCCACTAAATAATGTGGGAAGGAATAGGGAAAGCCAGAGACAACTGTAGTTCTGGTGGGGCCCTCCACATAGAAGCCCGAGTCAGTCAAGGGGCAACATGAGGGCATTGGATGCCTTAGGGGAAAGGGGATATTACAAGATTAAAGACTAACTTTGCCAATTTTTCAGGTTTGCCCAAGGCTGTTTCTGTTTGGCACTACTAAAAGAGTTAGGCTTACCTGCTTTGGATAGCCATTCCAAACCTCCCACAGATCATAAAGCCAAGGTTTCTAAATATAGAAAGGAGGGAGAGGGAAACACATTAACTATGCACAAATGGAATCTTTTATCAGAAAAGGTAATATTTTTTCTTAAAGTCAATAAACATTTAAGTACTTACTATATGCAAGGCACCAGGCACTGTGCTCAGTGCTATGTCATTTTGATAGCACTTAAATATCTGATACATTTGCTAATATCCCCCCCCATATATACATATCTATCATACATAATACACTATTACTAATATAGCCAAAAACTCTGTTTAAAGTGCCATATTATAAAGTGTATAACTGTTCTTGAAATGTAACTTAAATGAAGAAGTTACTTCTGAAATAATTAATGCTAATTCTATATCAGCCCTCCTAGGGAAGGCCTGGATGGGTGATGATCTACATCCTGGAGGGAGTACTCACATCAATGGAATCATACATAACCCAAAGTATTAAATGTATCAACATGATTAATTTTATCACAAAAATCACAATAAAATTGATGCTTATTGATGCTATTGCATCATAATAAACTCATAGGTAAAAATTTTTAAAGACTAGAGTCTAATGAAAGATATTAAAAAGATAACTTACATCATAAAGAAATCCAATTCCAGCAATAGTTAAGAATAAATAAAAGGTAAATCTCCAGCTGCCAAAATAAAGAGAAGTATTTATTCAGAGAATATGTAATGCCAGCCTTAGTAGGAACCTTCAAGATCCACCTGGCCCAATCCTTGCATTTTTCATATGAGAAAACTGAGGTACACTGAAGCACCATGGTATACGGAAAAGACTGCCATGCTCAGAATCCCAGGATGTGGGTGCAAATACTTTCTCCACTATTTATCTTTGTCCGCATGGATTTGGTTAAGGCACAACACTTCTTGAGCTCAGTTTCCACATCAATGAAATGAAGGGGTTGGACTAGATTATTTCCAAGGCTGCTTCCAGTTCTACATCTCTGATCCCAAGGTCGCACTGTTAGTTAGTGAATAAGCTAAAACGAGAATTCAGTTCCCAGGATCATAAGACCGTAAACAGAGAGTCAGAAGGAATCTCAGAGCCCGTATGGCCCAGCACTTTAATTTTAGAGATGAGAGAGTTGAGGCCCAGGGAGGTTAAGTGATTTTCCCAAAGTAACTAAGTTAGTTAACAAAGAGGAGACTTTTGAATGGAGGACTTCTAAACATTTTTACATTATCATACTGGATATTTTAAGTACTTATCTAACTGTCTTTCTAGACTGATGCTTTCTTTGTAAAGGTAATAGAAGAAGGAGATATTTTCTACCTAACAAGAAGGAGTGATATGAACATGCTCATTTAAGTTGATGCATTAGAATATCTGGAAAAGGATTTCTACTTAGTCAATGATATTATTTTTTTCATTATATGCCCAAAGCAGTTTTTTTTAATGAAAACTTTTTTAACATATAACCTACTTCTTCCAGTGAAATCTAAAATACAGTCTTATCCCTCATTTCCTGCTTCCACAGGAAAAAAAAATTATGAGGCCCAATTATTTACATCATAGGGATCAAGAAAATGTCCCAAAGGATAATTATCTAAAAGTTTCCAAATGAGGTCTCAAAACTGTTTCAATTTACTTTTACATTTGCTTATGAAATGAACTTGCATTCACAGATCATTTCTATGTGTTTTTCTTATTTATTCCAACTAAGGTTAGAATAAATAAGAAAAATCGGGCTGGTAAAAGAGAGTATAATGTGAAAGAATAACCCTTATTAGGCAAGATTCATAACAACAAAGTCATAATTTTCAGTACCACATCTATTTGATTGCCTCAAAAGAGTAAAATGTCATTTTCCTGTATTTATTAGTATAAGACTAAATTAGAAGGAAAAAATGGATTTTTTTCTGGAAAAGCTAAAATTGGGGCATTGGGCATTGAAAGGGGCATTGAATCTTCAAAAAGCTGACATTGGGAGAAGGGCAAAATGAAGAAAATTAACACTGAGAGATGACCTTGACAGAATCACAGTGGAATATAGCTGACTGGGGATTGGGAGATGTAGGGCTGGAAAGAGACTCTTCCTACACCTTTTGGTTTCTTTAATATACTGACACTGAATGTGTTGATTTTGAAACTACAGTGTGCTTCTGCAGTGAGTATCTTTTTCTAAATATTCCAGAACTCCATACAGTGCCTGGCACATAACAGGTGCTTAATAAACGCTTATTGACAACTTCAAAGGAAGCATTTATTTGAAAAAGATTAAATGTATAGCCGAGACAAGACTAACTGAAACAAAACTAAACTTTGGATTGAGTTGAGGAATGCCTTGGAATTAGACTGAGAGTAAGAATTCTATCCAGAAAGCTGAAGAAGAACACAATTCAAGAATGAACGTGCCCTGAAATGATGGAAAAATTTCTGCTCATTTGTGAGTTCATGTTGGGAAGTCAAGAGATAACTACTTAATGGCTGCATCCTACAATGGAAAGCAGAAAGAGACTTTAGGTCATTTGGTACAATTTTTTCATTTTACAAATTTAACTTGGGCTGGCCTATCTCCTTGAGTTGTTACCATGGAGATCTGTTAATGGACTGGATACTACTAATCATCCCGCAAGTTCCTATGGTGGTTGTTATCATGAACCAACTTCTGCAAAGGAAAGAGAGGCTGCCCCTCAGAAACCTGTACATCAGGCAGACAGTTCAGGGATAGGAAAGCACTGCTTCTCAGGAGCAGGGACTTTTACCTTTCTTTGTATCCTCAGAGCTTAGCTCAATGTCTGGCACATAGTAAGTGTTTACTTAATGTTTATTGAAATGACTGTCTGTTCTCTCATGCTTGGCAAGATGCATAGACTTGGGAGAGCTGACAAGACTGAAACTGAGGTGCTAATGACAGTAATCTAAGTGAAATAAACTGGTGACTAGGCAAGAGTCAAGTGGAGGGAACTAGTGACCAGGAGCCCAGTGGGACAAGTTGTAGTAGTTGTCTGCATTTCCTGGAGTTAGTAACATCAATCCCATTTGCAACAATTTTTTTTGTCTCTTCCCCTCTCCAACCTCCTGCCTCATCCTTCTAGAGGCAGCTAGGTGGTGCTTTGGATAGAGCACTAAGCCAAGTCACTAAGACCTACTTAAATTCAGCCTTGGATATTTACTAGTTGTGTGACCTTGGGCAAGCCACTTAAGCCTCAGTTTCCTCAATTGTTAAATGGGGATAATAATAGCACCTACGTCCCAGGGTTGTTGTGAGAACCAAATAAGATAATATTTGTAAAATCCTTAGTACAGTGCCTAGCACATAGTAGGCACTTAATAAATTCTTGTGTCCCTCCCTCTTCTTCTTTCCCTTTCTTTCTTCCCTCTCCCATTTCCTCCCTCCCTCCTTCCCTCTCTTTCTTCCCCTTGTTCCTTCCCTCCTTTTCTTCCTTCCTTCTTTTCTATATTTCTCCTTTCCTTTCTACCTTCTTTCTTTCCTTCCTTTCTACTTTCCTTCTTTTTTTCCTACCTACTTTCCTTCTTTCCTTCCTACTTACCTTCCTTCTTGAACTCAGGACTTTCTGAATCCAAGCCCAACACTGCATCCACTGAGCCACTTATCTGTCTAGGTGTTAGTAAGGTGATCTGCATATTAAGTTCATTTTCTGATGTAAATAATTCTAAATATAAAATGTACATGGTTTTGAAAGTATATATAATTGATGTAATGTTTAAAAATAAGTTTGTAACAAAAAGATTAAAAAAAAAAGAAATGTTTGCAAAAAAATCAAAAGGACTGTGTACCCATATGTAAATTATTTCTGTGTCACTGTAATCAATAATTGATCAAATGAAGTAATGATAAAGTGACTTAAAAAATATGGGTCAGTTGATTAGTAAAAGTCTTTAAGTGATTGTACAAAGTACACAGAACCACAAGTATCAGTGATAACATAACTCACCACATGCAACTTTCTTCATTGTTTTCTAGCTTAAATGGTCTGATATAAATCTTTAATATCTTTTCCTGTTTTCAATCCCTTGACTTAGAACAGTACTCTTCTCATCTTTTTTTCCAAGCAAGGGGATTTTGACCCTACATATCCAGCTTTATTTCTGACTACTTGCACCCTCCACTCTAGTCTGACCAATCTTCTTATGATTCTTTAGATCTGGGTGGGGAGAACCTGTGGCCCTCTGGGTCCTCAAGCATGGCCATTTGACTAAATCCAAACTCCTCAGAACAAAGCCCCTTAATAAAAGGATTTGTTCGGTAAAACTTGGATTCAGTCAAAAAGCCACACCCAAGGACCTAGAAGGCTACATATGGCCTCAAGGCTATAGGTTCTCCACCCCTGCTTTAGACTGGGAGGTCCTTGGAGGCAGGGACTCTTCTTTTTTTTTTTTTTTTGCCTCTTTTTTATATCTCCAGTTTAGCACAAGGGCACATGGTACTTGATAAATGTTTGTTGACTATTGATTTTATAAGCCCATCAAAGTCTTTTCCACTCCTGTGCTCATGTTCCTCTCATATGGGATACTTTCTCCTTCCCATCATCCAAATTCCACCTACGCTTCAAGGTCCAGCTTAAGTCCTACCTCCAGATGTGTATAAGTAACAATTAAGTATTTAATTAATAATCTGTTGAACAAAGAGACTCTTGTAGTAATTTTAGGCCACATCAAACCATTTTACATAGTCCTGGACTACATAAACAATTATTACTTGTCTTACTTTAACTGAGAACAGAGACCATGTCTTATACAATTTCATCTCCTTCTATGACCTAATATTTAATAGGTATTCAATGAATGAAAAGTGATTAATTGGTAAGTGTAGTTGGAAGTTTTGTTTTCTAATTAGGGCTCAGCAGAAGCCATCAACTTCCAGAAAAAAATACAGTATGTAAAAATCCATTGACATTATGGTTCCCAAATTGGGCTCCCTGAGTATTTAAGTTTGCCAGACTGAAAGGCTTATCTGAAGGAACAAAAGGTGAAGAATCTCAAGAGAAACAATGAAAAGGAGTGAGGAAAGAGGACCTAACAATACCAGATAACAAGCTATCCTATAAAACAGTAATAATTTTTTAAAAAATGGTACTGGTTAAAAATACAGAGATCAACCAGAGGAACAGATTAAATAAGCAATAGACCAAAGCAAACAAACCTACTCGCCTAGTATTTGATGGACCACACTTACTGGGGAAATGCTTCAACCATTAGCAAAAACTGCTGAAAAAACTGAACAAAGTCTGACACAAATTAGGTTTAGACCTCATACCATATACCTAGATAAACTCCAAATAAATACATGATCTAGTTAGAAAAGGTCCCATCATAAACATATTAGAGGAACAAAGAGGAAATTACCTCTCAGATGTATAGATAGAAAGATTTGTAACAAAATAAGGAAGGATCTCAGAAAATAAAATGGACAATTCTGGTTGCATATGCAAACAAATCCAATGCAGCTAAGATTAGAAGGGAAACAGATGACAGGACAACTTGCAGCAAGTTTCTCTGATAAAGATCTCATTTTCAAGCTATATAAGGAACTCATTCTCTTTTCTTTGCAATAGTGGGGGTGGGAAAGGATAGGGTATAAATATGGAAAACTGAAGATAATATCAGACTAGGTTGATGTGCTGGTTAGTTTTTCTGAACCTCTTTTTTACCCCTTTATTATAAAAGATAGTTCTCTGTTTGGTGGGGAAGGGATTTATTGAAAAAATGAGGGTGATTTAAAAACAAAAGATACCAACAATTTTTCTTAACAAAAAAGAAAAGTTTTGGACCAAAATAAAGGGAAAAAATGAAAAGTAATGTCTTTTGTATCTCACTTTTGTATAGGTACAAGTGTCCATACCTTTAAGAGCTGAGGCATTCTGGAATACAATGATTTTTAAGATAGAAGCAGCCATGCTTAATTGAGAAAAAGAAATCTGCCCTGATAAACCATCAAAATATTGCCCTAATGAACTATTAAAATCTATGTCTCTGTTGCAAGAGTTCAGCTTGAAGCCCTAGCCCAACCTGACTATCCTGTTCAACTATGACACAGTAAGTTTTCTCAATCCATATGGAGAAAACAGGTTAAGTATCTGATTCAGACAAAAGCAGATGTCATCCTAACTTATATTCTGAAGGGAAAACAGAACTTTCCCCATATAATCTGTGCTGACAATTGTAGTGTGGTTGCAAAAAAGATAATGGAGTTCTAAATTACAAGTTAGCAATTGGAGTAAGCATTGACCCCTTAAATAGATGAACTGGTTGAAAAAAAATTTGTGTGGATGATATCTCAAACGTTAGGATATGTACATGTGCACAAAACTACAAAACTATCCATGCTTCTAGCTTCCTTCTTACCAAGCTTCCTGGAATTTCTTTAGTCTGCAAGGTCTTTCTTGATTACGTCGTCTCTTAAACCATATTTCAACCTGTTGTACAGTCTGGTTACACTTCTTTGCTAGACCATATAGATCATTCTGAAAAGGGACAGGACAAAAGAATGAATGATTGATCAACAATAAATGTATATAGAGGGAAATCAAGAAGCATAGACTAAAAGAGGAAAGGACCTATTTGTACAAAAATGTTTATAGCAGCTCTTTTGTGACATCAAAGAATTGGAAATTGAGGGGATACCCATCAATTGAAAAATAACTGAACAAATTGTGTATGTGATTGTAATGGAACACTATAGTGCCAAAAGAAATTACAAACAAGATGATTTCATAAAAACCTGGAAAAACTTACATGAACTGATGCAAAGTGAAGTGAACAGAACCAGGAGAACATTTCACATAGTAACAGCAATACTATGTGATGATCAGTTATGAATGACTTAGCTATTCTCAGCAATACAATGATCCAAGACAATTCCAAAGGACTCATGATGAAAAATGCTATCCACCTCCAGATAAAGAACAGATGGAGTCTGAATGCAGGTTATTTTTCACTTTCATGTGTGTGTGTGTGTATGTGTGTGTGTGTGTGTGAGTGTGTGTGTGTGTGTGTTTTCTTTTGCTGTATTTCTCTTTTCACAACATGACTAATATGGAAATATGTTTTACTTGATTGAATATATATAACCTATATAAAATTGCTTACTGTCTCTGGGAGGGGGGAGGGAAGGGAGGGAGGAAGAAATTTTGGAACTCAAAATTTTTAAAAATAAATGTTAAAAATTATCTTTACATGTATTGGAAAAAATAAAATACTTTTTAAACAAAGAAGAATCAGGACCAAATGTTAGTTATGGTAGTGGAACTATAGGAAACTCTATTAGCAATCTTCTGCATGACCTTGGGGTGGACATTTTGAGTTATGAGCTCAGAATTTTTTTTAAATTAATGCCGATTATACTTGAAACAAACTTCTATGAGATTCTCATAAATAAGATATTTCTTCAAGACCTGCCATCTATAATCCAATAATAATTTCTAACAATACACATGCTGGAATACAAATCTGAGTTTGCCCTAGTTTTTAAAACCATAAAAATCTGTGCCACAAAAGCCAGGTAGACAATTTGCAGTTTAGTATTTCCATTTAAGTGTTCATCCAATACCTTATCTTGGGATACTAGCAACCCTGGTTCTCAAAGGTTATCAGTATAATGCATGATCTGGCAAATGATAAAAAGGCTGGAAAGGTTTTGAGTTTGGGTTTAGTGGGAGGATTTTTTTCCTAGTTCAGAGAGTCTTATTTGCCAAAAAGTGATAAATTTTTCAGTCGCAACAACTTTTAAAAACTATCTCCTAAGTCATGGAGAGGTTATGAATTGCATTATTGAAGGAATGCCCACATCAATTAAATCGCAGATCCTTGAAATACTTGTACAAACTAAGCAGAGGGTAATTGGACAAACAACAAATATTACCACTTTGGGCATGAGAAGGTTCATAAAGTTTTAAAACTACAGCACCTTTTTCTACAGCAAGTTAAAAGCAGTATTAGGAGAAAAAAATAACAAAACATAGAAAAAGTCATTCACTACGAATATAAATTATTTGAAGATTACAATATTTTTTAAAAATTACATGTACTATTTTCACACGTTAGTGAAAATGATCAAGAGGTCTGTATACTTAGAATAAGAATTTTTTAAAACTTAAAGAAACACTGAGATTATGATGTTTAATTACCCCTTCACAGATACTGTTATTGAAACCCAGATTTAAAGCTATAAAGGACCTTGAATATTATTCAGTCCAACCTTCTCATTTGCAGATGAGGAAACTGAAGCCTTGAAAGTTTAAGTGGTTTGTCATCATAGATTTAGAATTTGGAAGGGCCTTAGAAGTCATCTAGCTTAACCACCTCGTGTGACAGATGAGGAAACTGAGGCACAGAAAGGTTAAGTGACTTTCCCAAAATTACATGATACAGATGGGATTTGAATTCAGGTCCTCTGGTTCCAAATACAACATTCTTTTTCTTATACCTTGTTTTCTATCTTACACTGAGGGTGAGAATTATATAACTTGTCTTTGGTCATGGATAATAAGTTTGAGCCAGGACTTGAACCTTGATGTCTTTAGTCAAAATTTCATATTCTTTTCAATACACCATGCTCTTTCTAAGAAGTTATTGTTAGTTAGTGGCACATTTGGTCCTAAAACTCTTAATTCTTGGTCCAGTAGTCTTTTTATCATATCATACTTTTCAACAATTCTGGAAATTACCTTGGGGCGAACTCAAACCAATATTGACCATTTGTTTTCATACTTAATCAGTAACATATGATACATTTCAAGACCACTCCCAAATAATTTCAATGATGAAATCAATTCCTACTTCTCTTTTGGGAAAGAGAAATATGTGCTACTATAAGAAAATGACTTAGTATCTGGAATAACATGGATATATAAAATCATGTTGGATTATTATACAAAATTTATATAGCTTGAAACATTGCAAAAATATTTGCAGCAAATATGCCAGATAAAGGTGTGACATCCAGAATATATATGGAAATCTATAAGACTAATAATACATACTTTCCAGTGGAAACTTACTAGACAATTTATAAAGGAAGAAATACAACTTTAATAACCCCATGAGAGGTTGCTCAAATTCCCTAATAATCAGGAAAATGCAAATCAAGACAACCTGAAGATGTCACTTTAAACCTACCAAACTTGGCAGGGAGGGGAGATATTGACAGGGCTATGAGGAAACTGTTGATAGGACTACAGACTAGAAGAAACGCTTTGGACAGCAATATGTAAATATGGAATACAAGCCAAAAATGGATCTTATCTTTCAAACCATACCTAAAATCCCATCCCCAAAACATATCTGTACAAAAAGCATTCAGAGCTGCTTTATTTGTAATAACAAAAAAGAGACATTATGACAACATTTAATATTTGCATTAGAGTAAGCTAATTTAACATAGTGAAATAAAAAAGTAAGTATGGAGCGTACAAAGAGAGTCAGTGTGGCATAGTAGATGAAGAGCTGATTTAAGAACCAGGAAGACTTGGATTCTGTTTCTACCTCTGACATACTGGAGTATGACCCTGGGCAAGTCACTTAATCTCTTAGTGTTCTAGGCAACTCTCCAAGATTATAAATTACACAGAAGATGATGACCTGCATTGGTAGGGAGAATTTCCTTACCTAAGAGTTCCTAACCAGTGAAAGCACAGATCTGGTCCTCATACCTAACCCTATGAAGCATGCAAGGAAATGTTGAAATACATATCTGGGATGTGTTCAGTTGTCTCTTGAAAGTTTCTCTAAACTCTGCAGTACCAAGGTAGCTAGATGGAAGTGTGGAAATTGCATCCACTCTACTCATATCCTCTCCACTCCAAACAATAAACAGATGGAGAGAAGATGAGAGAGAGAGAGACTTTTGAACTGACACCACAATTACTGTACAACTATGATGCCGTTACAGATCCATACATGAAATCACCTTAGTCTTCAAGATAACCCCCTTTATTTTTAGATTGTCATTTGAGACCAATACTGAAAGTAGTGGATACAGTGCTGGATTTGGATCCAAAGAGAATTTAAATCCTCCTTCAGACATATCACCTCTGTGGCCCAAGCAACAGGGTTTCTGTGAAGATCAAATGTGATAACATGCAAATCTTAAAGCCCTATATAAATGATAGCCCCTATTATTTCCACATTTGCCTCAACTCCTTTATCATGGCAGTACATTTATGGTTTGGAGGTTGAGAGGATTTTGTTGGTTTGGGGGGAAGAGGCATATGTTTTTTGATGTTTTTACAAAGTAAAACTGCTAGCACAATAAGTTTCACTGCATCATTAGTTTTATCAAATAGCAGAATGTTTGATGTGTTGGCTAGAATTGTTGGTCTGTTACTATGGCACTATCCCAATACATCTTGAAGTAGTTAAACTAATATACATACGCATTACACATATATGTATGCACATATACCTCTACATATACATATATTGTGTTTCTTAGGTTCATATGTGTTAAATCCTGTGTTAATTTATCAAGTCACATTTGAGGATTGGCTGCTATGTATGATTTTAGTAGTATTATTATAATATTATTATTTATATGAGTACAATCCATGGTAGCCAAAGTGATGCATACTTTGTTCCATTGTCACTAGTCACAAAACCACATCATACGCAATCTGTACATGTTGCCAAACTTTTCATCACTATATGTATGCAATACTTTTTAGGGGTAATAATTTCTATCCTGAATCATCACTACAAAATCTTTAGTCACACTCAACAAATAACCTTGCATTCCCCTTTCTATATATTTGACAGTTTTATCTACATAATCTTTTCTAAGCTAATGTGCAGAAGTATTTTGAATCTCTTTTTGATAATATATATGAATATATTGATGGGTCATTTATTATAAACTACTGGATCATTATATTCTATTTTCCTAAACTCCAATGATATAAAACTATGGTCAATTTTTTAATAACCAATATACGTAGGTTATAGTCTGATGTTACAGAAATAATGCCTTGATTTCACAACATAAATTGGTGATATCAATTAGTCCTCTGTTGCCTTCTTGGTGTGGTACAGCAACTGTTTCCACCATACATCTTGAATGATATATTCAATGCATCAATACATATTCTTGATGGTATTCTGTTTATCCCTGCCCTTCATTTATTTTTACCACTAATCAGTCTTTTCTAGGACTATGGAATACTAGTGAGTTCCTTCCAACATAATATTATTCAAGTCACTATAATTCAAGCTATAGGGCTTAAGTCTCATTCCATTACTTATGATACTATTTAGGGCTATATTAAATCATGCTGAACTGTCAAATAATTTAGACTGTGTACAGCAACTACTAATTTACTATCTTAAGTTTACTACCTATCCTGTGCGTATATGTGTTGTTTTTTTCTTTACTGAAAAGAGTCATATTGTATAATGGAAAGAGCATGACAATTCAGGTTCTATAATTGGCTATCTCAGCTATGTGACCTAATAAAATGATAACCCCTTTGATTCTATTTCCTACTGTACAATGAAGGGATTGGGTTAGATAATGCCTAAAGGCCCACATAGCTCTAAAATTCAGAAATTCCATAAACAGAATGCTCTTTTTGAAAAGATTTTCTTTAACTATTATGTGGTTAATTCCTCTGATTTGTAAAGTTTTTCTTTGGGTAAATTTTTTTTTTCTTTTTTGATAGCAAACCTACTTATTTCATTAAGTTTTGCTTTTACCACTTGTTGTGTTTACTTTTATTTATTCAAACCAAATTCTAAGAGTGTAACATACCAGATTCATTCATAATTCAATGTCTTGAATAACTTGTTTTAGAGTTGGCATATAGTTCCAAGTCATATAAGCAGAGCAAATGTCTGATAATATGATATTTCCCTTCATGTCTTATGTTAAAATTATGACCAATTGAGTTTTTAAATTCCAAATGGATTCAGGCCCCTAATAAGGAGTCCACCTCTGAAATAGCCTCCACTTTCTTTTTTTCTCTTAAAAGATAAATAATTACATTCAACTAACCTGATTAATCACATGACTATTTGCAATAACAAAAAATATATGAAATTTACATTTCATATAGCCCCTAATTAAAAATGAGAATCCAAACACCAAGGTTAGAATCATGATTGAGGTAAGAGCAAGTTGGTTATTTCATGACCTCATGATGGATTATGACTTGAAGAATTCTGACCACTAGTTTACCTTGTTTTATAAACAAGTATTAACACCCCACTGACATAAGCCAATATCATACCCTTCCGAGAAATAATTTTTCCTTTTCATAGTAGGAATGACCTAAAGCTAGCCACAGAATCAGAATAGAACATTTCCAAAGATTTTGTTACACATGCTAAAACTGTGCTGTCATTAGATGATACTATTTCCATGGTCTAAAGCTGTTAAAATTAATCATAGAAATTGTGATTTTCCAACAAAACAAACAAACAAAAAGTTTCACCATTTTCCATTGTTGCAATTTGTTGGTTTTAGCTATAATAAACTAAAGTTGGAATGAATCACTTCTACTTGGCTTAGGCTATTTGAATTAGAAGGACTAAAACAAAAAAAAAACTACATTTTTCTTTTGCTTCATGGGTCGTCATAACCATATTTCATCATTTTCAGGGCCAACGTGGTGGTAGTAAGCTTCTCCAGTCTTAGAATATTCTTTGAAAAGCACAGTCTCTTGTTGCCAGATCATTCTCTAAAAGTCTTTGCAGTATGGCAAAATTGCAAAAGCTTGACTGGTATTTCATTGCTGTAGCTTTCAAGAAGCCAAGGATTCCTTCCATACCATTAAGAGGCTTTATAGAACATGCCATTGTTACACTTGACCCTTGTCTGTCACTAATACCAAACTCAGATGCAGGCAGTATGGTTTCATTCCCTGGAACCTGAGTAGACCTCTGTTTAGAATGGCCTCTACAGGACATGCTAATGAAAAATGTGATAGAGTGTTGGATACGGATTCAGAAACACTTGAGTTCAAATTTTGCCTTTGACACTGACTAGCAATGAGAGCCTGGATAAGTCATTTAACTTCTCTCAACCTTAATTTCCTCATTTGTAAAATGTGAATAATAACAGCATTTACCTCCTAGGGTTGTTGCGGGAGTCAAATACAAAAATGAACGTAAAATGTTTTATAAGCATTGAAGCACTATACAGATACCAGCTACTCTTACTGATATCAGTTAGTTCAATAACTGAAATTTTGACATTGAATATGCTTCTGCAAGATAGAAGACTCTGAATGGATGTGTGAGGTAACTAATGATATGCTATATCTTTTTGCAGTCAATAAAGAACTTTGATGAACTTGCAGGGCTAATGAAAGCACATGTCTTTTCATCACCATCAGTCTCTGTTCTGAGTTAAATTTTATATTCAAAATCAATAGCCTGATGAGGAAATTGTTGTTTATATTGCTAGGGTGTTCCATGTTGCTTCAATTTTATGTACTTTTGCCAATTTATTGATCATATGTTAAGAGACTGCCTTATATTTAGAATTCACGATGAACTCTATACATAACAACTTTGAATGAGCCAAATTTGGCATTTATAATGACTTAACACCTTAACCAGGGCAGCTAGGTGGTATAGTAGATAGAACACTGGGCTTGGAATCAGGAGGACTCATCTTCATAAGTTCATATCTAGTCTCAGACAAGCTAGTAAGCTAGCCAAGGTCAAGTGTGACCTTGGGCAAGTTGCTAAATCCTGTTTGCCTCAGTTTCCTCATCTGAAAAATGAGCTGGAGAAGGAAATGGCAAACCACTCCAGTATCTTTGCCAAGAAAACCCCAAATGGGGTCAGGAAGAATCAGACATGACTAAAAAATGGCTCAACAACAACAACAAAACACCTTAACTGTTACCTGTCATTGAACTTAAAGGAATATTTTCTGCTGCTCATAATACTCAGGTAAAGAGGTATTGCCAACAGGATTAGCAAAGCACAGAAGATTCAGCATATATTAATTTCTAATAATGTATTTTCATTTACATTAGTAGAGTTTAAGGAATATGTGAACTGGAAACTAAACCGTCATCAATGTACCTTATCACCATCAAACAAACAATCAAAATAAAAGGATGGTTCAGGGCATTAAGGATATTCCAGAGCAAATTGGTGGAAGAAATTGTCCTAGACTTGCCAGGTCATTTATCCTTCAGATCAAAACAAGTCAATCCTGCTTAAAGACCAAGGGTGTAGACTCAAGACCTGCCTTATCATTCAGATTTATATGAGGACTTGTAAGAGAAGTGAAAATATATTCTTGAAATTACTCTGTCTGAACTATAATGCATTCATGTTGATCAATAGAGTCAGTCATCTCTAGAACTATGAATTTCTTCTACAATAAATGAAGTCGCCAGACCTATATCATAAAAGGTCTGGTTCAGAGTTCAAATGAGTTTCTGTGGCATCACTGCAAATCAAAGGCATGAAATTTTAGATAAGTTCCAGTTAATTTTGTTTTAGGGATGTCCACTTTTGATCAATATAACTTATCCTCTTACTATTAAAGATATCAACCTTAAACACTGATTCCTTTATGTTAAATCAACCATTAAAATTTATCCATCACTTTTTTTTTGTTTTGGATGCTATGTGCCCTGTCAGCAGGATAATGAAATGAGTCCAAATGAATCAAATCATTCACAGGTCAACTGGAAGAGATTCCTTAAGCAGATGAGGTAAAATATGGATGCCTGATTAAAACATTAAGGCTGAGGTTTTCTAATCCAAAAGCTATCTGCTAAGAATTAATATGCTTACTTGGGAAGGATGTCTGGCGGATTGGATGAAAAAGTTCTCTAAGACAGCATTGTGCTGAATCTTCTTTGGGATTTTCTTTATGCCCAAAGTCTTTGCTAGAGGTGTGGCAATAAACCTGTAAGAATATAAAAGAGAAAATGAAGAGCTTAGCCCTCAAAGTGGAACTGTAATTTCCTGATTCTATCAAAAGGCTGGTCATTTATTTGTATTATTGCTGACTTTGCCTGGATCAAACATCTGTATAGCAGAAGTTCAGAGAAAGAAACATTTTAGGACTTGCACAAAGGCAGTAGCTTAAAAAGGAAAAAAAAAAACATTAAAACACTAAACACAATTTTGAAATGCAGTTTGTGGCAATCAAAACATGTTTATATGCAAGTTTAGGAATTAAAATAAACAGTTACATTACCTCTTTCAGTTTCATTCTCATAACTCCCAATAATTAAAATAAATAATTGTTCTATTCCCAGAAAGTCACATTTGACAAAAAGGGCTTAAATGTAACTAGTTTGGTATGTTACTACTCTAAATTCTGAGTGATTCTGGCATTTTTAAGTGGCAAGTTTCTTTCCTATCATTTTATCAATGGCCCTGAACTTTAAGTCTTATCTGCAGGTTAGGATTTACTGTGTTTAATGATAGAAGGTTTAGTTGGGAATAAACATTCAGTCATTTAGTTCAGTTTCTTACTCACACCTCTGGGATTAACAAAATAAAACAGGAAAACTCACAAAACTATTTGTTAAGATTTATATGCCATCAAACTTCCAAACAAGCCAAAATTTCCTTGGAAAGGCCCTAATACTGTCAACTAAAAATTGGAAATTCAGCAACGTGAAAAAACAAACTAAAACATCCTTGAAAATTCCTAAGCAAGGCAAGATTTGACAACTTTCAAACAAAGGTATTCCAACTATTTCATCCATCTTTTGGAGGAATTAGGTGTCATAGTTGCAAAATAAGTGTCCACTTATAAAAAAAATCTGGAATTTTCCAATTAAGAAATTTATTCTGTAAAACATGTATCTCTGGGACTGGCAAAATCTTATCCAATGTTTCAAATAAAGATATAGCCAGTATAAATTGACAGTATCACCTTAATAATGTTTAATTAATTGTTGCCCCCCAGAAAGTTAATTTTTAGGAAACATGAGCAAAAATGAAAAAATATAAGATGAAACCAAAATAAAAACATGCAAAAGATTTACATCTAAGTTCACTGTTTGATAACATGAGACAAGCATACTATACCCAGTTCTGAACTACTGGCATAAGAAAATATATGTGTATTTTAAAGTTCAGAGGATCATAGATTTGAAACTAAAAAGGACACCAAACAATAGCTACCAAAGATCATCAAGTCCAATCTCCTCAATCTATAGAGGAAACTGAAATTTAATAGACTTGTCCAAGGTCATGCAGGTAATAAATGGCCAGGCTTAGATTTGAACCCTGGTCCTCTGGCTCCAATTCCAACACTCTTTCCACTGTAGGATGGAGTTCAACTGTCTCATTTTGCAGATAAGATTAAGGTCCAGAGAAGTTAATTGATTTGCCCAAGGTCATACAGGTAGTAAGTAGCAGAGCAGGGATTTGAAATCTCCAATCTCAAATATTGCTCTTTTCATTATACCATCTTGCTAATGAAACTACAGGCCCTCTTAACCCAATGAAAATTACAGGATTAGATAAAATAATAATAAAAGGCAATTCCTTCTTGTTCAGTGAATATGCCCAGAGTTAAGAACTGAAAATAGCATTCTTATAATGAAAGGGAATGGGAAAACATAACAATATAATGTTCTATTTCAGTTCTTTCTTCCATCAACACACATTAGGAACTAAAAAAGTCTACAAAGATAAACTGTGGTTTGGGGAGTTATTTTGTGGTTAAGAATGATAGAAACATATCACAATTTCTATAATATATTTATATGGATATGTATTTACATTCTACTAAATTAATTCATTGACAAGGCATTTATTAAGTTCCCACTATGTGCCAAGCTCTTTGCTAGGTTTTGAAATATAAGGCAAAAACAAACCAGCCCTTGCTCTCAAAAACTTACATTCTATTGGGAGACACACAATAAGTAGGTACAAAATCTAAACAAAGTAAATGTGATGTAATGGAGGAGAAGCAGGGTTAGGAAGGGCCTGAGAGTTCTTGGACCAAGCTTTCTAAGGGAGGGGGGGAATATAGGCAGTGGTAAGGAAGAAAGGCACTCCAGGAAGGGGGTCAGTCCGTGAAAGTAGGGAACTAGGAGATGGAATGGAGGATAGATTGTGTGACCTAAATAATCAATCAATCAACCAAATGATTAGTATTTATTGAGCATCAATTATGTGTTAGGCATTATGCTGGATACAAGTACAAAGAATGAAGTAATCCCTGTTGCAAGAAGATTCCATTCTAATGCGGGAGATAAGTACACATATAATTATATGCAGAATAAACATAAAGAGAACAAATAAATATAACCTAGTTAAATGTAAGGAAATTTGAGAGGGAGGTAAAGAGCAGTGGGGGTAGGTGGGGGGGAATCAAGCAAGTATTTTCATATAAATGATGGTCTTGAGTTGTTTATTTAAAGAGAGAGGGATTCTGTCAGGCAGGCCTCAGGATGGAGGGAATTTCAGATATGGTAAATGACTAGTGTAAAAGCAAGGAGATGAAGTATCCTGAAAGAGGAACAGGGAGGTCAGTTTGCCTGCACTGAAGAACGTGGGTGGGGGAATAAAGTCTAAGGAGGCTGGAAAAATTGGTTGGGTCCATGTTGTGTGGGGCCTTTGAAGGCTCAACATAGGCATTTATGTTTCATCCTAGAGGCAGAAAGCTGTCACTGGAAAGAAAAAAACATTTTTTTTTGGTATGTACGATGATGCTTACTGCCTGTGTCACCATGGGTAAGGTATTTAATCTCCCTGGACTTCGGTTTCTTTACCTGTAAAGTGAAAGGTTTAAACTACATGGCTTCTAAATTCTAAATTACATTTACAATTCTAAATCTATGATTGCATGATCCTATGATGAGAGCCAATCACAGGAAAGTGGTCTCATCTCCTAGGCCTGTGCCTAGCACATAGGGCGTAATTAATAAATACTTGATTAATTGTTTCAAGGTTGTTCTTTTAGAACCATATCACAGGGCCATCCTTACCACCCCCTAAGTTCCAACTACATTGGAGCTAGGAATCCAGAGCTTTCTTTAAACACTTCCATGGAGAGAGAAAAAAAAGAGGCAGGGAGGGGAAGGATATTACTGAATTTTGGGAGTCTTCACTCTACCACATGCATAAAAATATATATGTATACACTGTGCATGTATGTATATGCATGCATAAATATGTGTATACATATGTATGTATACATAATACACATTTGAACTTTCTATTATATACATACACATGTATATACATACACATATATATATACACGTGTACGTATATAATAGGAGATTCAAAAGTGTATTATGTATATATGTCTCTGTGTGTGTGTGTGTGTATTTAAGGTCTAGGTCTTTTAAAGCAAATTTCCCAGGGAAAAAAAGTCTTCTTATGTTTTGATAACTATGAAATACACAGATCTCCATTCAGTCCCACCCTGCAAGACAATTCAGGAGCTGTTTCTCTAGAATTCAATCCCACAAGCGTTTTCTGAGAACACAGACCCTCTTTTTAAACAATAAATCCTCTTAATTAGATAAAGATTAGCTTTTTGACAATGAAGGAGAACAAACAAGTATTAGAGAAATTGCTGGCTGCCTTCCTTTTTCTTTCATGGAAATGGTGTATAATTAACAAAAGGTAAAGCAGCTCTTCCAGATATTTTTGCTTGGAACCTCAAGGGTCTATATTTTAACATGGGTTAATTTGTTTATTTTGTGGGCCCTTGAACTTATATACCTCTTAAATCACCCTTAAATCTGGATATATTAGGCATTTAGATGAATCGAGTACTACACCTGGGGTCAAGAGGATCTTACTCAGACACTTACTAACTGTGAAAATCTGGGCAAGTCATTTAAACTTTGTCTACCTCAGTTTCTTCCATTTTAACATTGGAGTAATAATAGCATTTATCTCCCAGAGCTGTTATGAAAAGAAAATGAGATCATATTTGTAAAGCACTTTACAAATCTTAAAGAGCTATAAAAATTCTTGCTATTATTATAGTTATTCTTACTACATACTAAAGTGGTTCTCATAAGGCATAGAAGCATCAGGGCATACTGATTGGAAATGCTAACCTAGACTAGAAGTCCTTAAAATTTGTAACTGAAGGTTGAGGGAAAGCAGTCTTAAATGCATACATCACCTTCTAAATCACTTTGTCTCCTTTCCCAGTTTGTGTCTCCAAGTTCCTAATAATCTAAGAGGGTTGCTAATTTTCAGTTCTGAAACTGAATGGCTGCTGAGCAAGAAGACAGAATTGGGACAGAATTGGAGCTATCACTGAAGAAAACACTAATGATCCACTTGTAGTCAGGAAAGCCTGAGTTCAAATCATACCTTAAATATTTAATAACTGTGTCATCTGCAAATTATTTAAACTCCTTCAGCCTCAGTTTTCTCATCTATAAAATGAAGATAATAATAGGACCTACTTCACAACACTGTCATAAGGATCAAATGAGATAAAATGTAAAGTGCTTTGCAAATCTTAAAGAACTATATAAATGCTAGTTATTATTACTATTATTATTATTTTAAACTTTTGCCAGTTTTTCCTTCTTGCTAAATTTATAGACTGACACAATTTTAATTCATAAACTTTCCTAAAATTGCTTCTTTATGAAATTAATGATTACTTTTTTTTTAGACAAAGAAAGTAAGTGGATGGAAGAAACAAAACACACAGGCAACTTACCTTTCAAAAAAGTATCTGATGATCAATAAGAGGAAAGCACAGGGAACTGTTATATATAAATGAGAAGGTTTTACAAAGACAAGTCCATCATGATCTTCAAGATCTGACCATTTCATTGTGGGAGGAAGCCATAATTCTTCCAACCAGAACCATTCTTTAATTGTTTGAAACATTCTAAGGAAGGAGAAAAAGAATAAGAAGTCAATACCATAAGAAAAAAACAAGTTCATATCAAACACTGTGCACTAGACATAAGTACCCTCTCACACAGATAGATTTAAGTTGATATTATCAACTAGACTGAAGCTTCATGAACTCACGAATTCAATGATATAGAGAATTCCTGAATAAAGAAATTACCTCAGCAGTTGGGTACCTTTTCTGTAACTTATTGTTTCAGAAAGTTACCAGAGCATTAAAAGTGACTTCCCCAGAGTCACATCACCAGCATATGCCATAGGTAGACTTGGACTCATACCTAGAGTCTGTCTATCTGTCCTCCAGTGTGTCTATAGAGAGCTGTCTACCCACCACACCATGCTGTCTCTCACATTTTACCCATTAAGCTTACATGTTACACTTATGGATCAAATAACTCCCATTTATCTAGTATTTTAAAGTTTATAAAACTGTTTCCTCACAACAACTCTATGAGGTAAATAAACCCTGGTGACCTTCTGCTTTGGAAAGTGACCTTGAATCAAGAATACTCTTAAGTCACATCAGAACTGCACTAGACACCAAGAGAAAGGTTGTCAAGCTTCTCACACACAAAGAATATGCTTCAATATGTTATTGGCTCCTGTGTGCTTATCTATTGATCTATCAATTCTATACTTCTACCCATGAGCTCCAGTGGGGATAGGACTGGGTGAATTACAGAAAATATGAGTATTTTTACTATTACACTGAAGAATGATCTAATAACTATCATACAAATAGGTATAAAAATTACACTTTCCCTCTAGAAATGAAACTCCAGGTGGGATAGAAAATTATAATTAAAATCAGTCTTTTTCACATAGGTGTATTTGGGAGTCAATAGGCAGAACTTTTATTCAGCTAATGGTGTCAAGAATAAATAGCTCATATTGATTATGTTAATTATAAGTATGTATATGTATGTCTGTATTCATTAAAAAAAAAAACCCAGACACTATATTCAAAAATCACTACTCACAGTAGGCTCCTTGAAACATTAACTCACCCATTTAATTTTTAATGTCAGGAAAGCATCACTAAGAAATAACCTATTTTTTTCTTCTGAAAACATGTAAATAAAGGAACAATTGTTTCTGTTCAGAGTTCTTTTATGTAAGATTTTAGCCTAAAGCAAAACATTTTACTGGAAGCCATAAACTGCTGGAAGTCCAGGTTTATGACAAAACTGCTCACAGACCTTGAAGTCCAATGGCTCTAGCAGGCGCCATTATAATGAACTCCTGAACATTAAAGTTTGTGTCAAATATAAAGCCTTATTTTAAAAAATAGTCTATCAAGATACTCTATAGGTTACTATACTAAATAGCTATTTTTGTTTTGCAGGCAGACTACGAATAGAAATATAAAAGCCACTACTATTTTAGCACACAACAAAAGACATATAATAGAAGATGGTATAAAAACTCAGAAATTCTTTGTGGCCTTTTTCAGGAATGCTGTTCAAATTGCTTCAGAAAAAAAAAACCCAAAAAACAACAATTTTCTTTCTTCCCTTATCTACTACAAAATTTCAACTGAGAAACTTCTTCAATATCCCTTATCACCACTACTTTTCCCAACCTCCATCTATCCTCTACCTCCATATATTCTCTAACTCATAAGACTGATTTACTTTTAAAGCACAAATGACTTTGGGCCAGCTCATGACTGTGGCAACATCTTGATAAAAGAACAAGTCTTGAGGAAAAACCTAAACCATTATGTCTCTTAGAGATCATGACAATACCCCAAGAATAAAGATGTCCAGTATATAGCTTAAAGTAAAAATCCTCTCTCCACTGATTGTAGAGAAGGAACCCAACCTGCCTTTTCCCCCCTAGCCTCCTGTGAACCTCCCCACCACGTTCTGTCTCTCTCAAGTTGAGAATGAGTAACTTAAATACAGAATCTCAGAGTTGGTAGGGACCTCAAAGGAAACCTGATCCAAAATGGTGCCTAAACAGGAATGCCCTCTGCAACATAACCCACAAGTGTTCATCCAGCTTTTGCTTAAAGACCTCTAGCATGGGGGAACCCTTGCCAAGGCAATTTGTTGTACTTTGGTATAGTGCTAATGGTTAGGAAAATTTTTGTTACACGAAGTCTAAACCTGCTTTACTGAAATTTCCATCACCTGCACCTAGTTCTTCCCACCGAAGGTTAAACTGTAAGAGCAAAATAAGCAAAGTTGGGACATGCATGCTCCCTCATTTTTTTTTCCATTCAGTGTCATTAGTGAGGAAACAGGCTACTATCCTTGGTGCAATAGCTCCTTTGCCAGTTTAGCACTCCAGATCTTTTATTTGTTGCCCTCTACTGATCCTGTCACCTCTTCATCCTTGGTTAGGTAAATGGTTCTGTTCCTCCTATGTAAAATGAAAGAGTTGGCTAGCTGACTCTCTAAAGTCTCCCCCAACTTCCAATGTCTAAACCACTTCAGTTCCCTGAGCTCTACATTTAGCTGAGGAGCTTCTTCTGAGGATTCTCCTTCAAAACATAAATCATGTCAAAAACAACTTCATTTTGTTTCCCAGGAGGGGAAGTGAAGAGACTACTTCGGCAAATGAGGAGACTGCTGGTGGCATTCTACCATTTCCTTCTCTCTACATTTCTTTTTCTCTACTTCCTTCCTTCTTCCTCCCTCTTCCTATTCCCACACCTATGCTTCAGGCTTGCCAGTGGCACCAGCTGACATTTTTTAAGTCTGCTGGGATGCTAAGTGCCAGAGAGGTGACTGATCCCCAGGAAAGCCTTAGAAGAAGGCAAGGTTGTTATCAAGATGTGGAACTTATACTTGAAACAAGATCTTCAAGGAACTTTGTGCCAATTGTTTATGTGCCACAGTACTTTAGCAATGTCTAGCTAAAAAGATAAGCAGCTTATAAATACCAAGATAGAGAGATACATACATTTTTAAAAGTCCCACAAAACTTCTTGCAATGAAGTAAACCTGAAAGTTCACTATGGCTCTGTAACTCAATGACCTCAGTTGTTCTATCCATCTGCTAAGTCATAAACAATTCACTACTTGTGACACTGCCCTCAGGAACCTCTTAGACTTATAAGTTAAAATCACCACTATTCTCTCATTTTCATTCTTATAGCCCAACTCTAAGGTTTTTGTTTTGTTTGTTTTTTGGCTATAAAATCACCTGTCAATATAATTCACAAACCTATTTAGTATTTTCTTTGCTGTAAACACATTTTTATTTCCTTCCTTTCCAGTTCCCCTCAGCCTAATTTTTTTTCTCTCCAGTTAAAGTTTTTTCCCTGTTATGTTGTCTAAGTACTATACTATGACTGCACCTGCTTTTTTTGAAGAGAAACAACTAAGTAAAATAGCTTATCTCTAGTTAATTTATGCTTCCTCTGAGGAAGCAGTGATTGTGATGGTGGCATCACAGACACAACTGTGTTTGGCCACCTGCTAATGCTAGTGAATGGTTAAGTCTAACTTTCTCTACTTCCATCTGCTATTAGCTTGCAGAGAGAAAACCTAGCCAGCATGGATTTTTATGACTCATTACTTTTTGACTCAATGGATACAAAATTTTTAAAAGTTGATGAAGTCAAAGGAAGAAGGCCTATAGCCACTTTTAAATATGAACTTAAAAGCTAAGACTGAAGAAGTCAGACTATTTGGGTTGAGAATTTATTAGCAATTGGAAATAATGTTTTTTTCAAAGGGAATAAAAATAAGAAACTTGACTTTTCAGTGAAGAATTGTAGACCAGACTGAAATCATAGTGAACTACAGCTTGCACTGTCCACAGATAAGTCTAATCATTGGCTTATTTCCATACGTGCTAAGGAAAAAAATCCTCTGGGAGGAGGTACTGAGATGAAGTAGGCTTAAAAGACAAGAGGAGTCAGGAATAATTGGCCAAGTTGAAGGAAATAAAAGAGAAAGAAAGGAACTCTTACATTCATATGCTCTTTCTTTCAATGTTCACATTACCTAATCAATTGGAAGGCAAGAGAAAACTGGGAGGACTGCTGGATCTGACCACTTACTTTATAAAAATGGTTATGGAACAGGCAATATAGTGTTCCTAGGTTCAGAGCTACTGGGAATTTTGAACAATATAAAGGTTCACTCTGAAGCAAAGCAAGGGAAATGGATATCCTATTGAAAAGAAAGATACTATATGAGTCTGAAGAGCTATCTAATTTATAACAGGCCAAAACAGTTTTATTTTACTAAACCTCAGTGAAAACTCACTGAATCTATTTGACTATCTTCAGGACTGACTTTAAAAATTCAACTAAATAGCAGTGCTCATTAATTTAACAGAAAACATGAAGATGAATACTATCAGCTATTTGTTGTACATGAACAATTTGAAGCCCTATGCCAGATCTAAATCCAACTTGACAAGCACTTAATTCCTTTGGTTATGCAGTTTGATGTAGATAACTCAAAATGAATGGAGAAAGATCAACTTACTATGAGGGATGGTTATCCTATCAGTGCAGATCAAATCACTGAAGGCATAGTGAAAAAAGTGGACTATAAATACCTAGATTTACTAAAGCTTTAAGAAACACAAACTACAGAATAATTTTTAAAAGATTAAGAAAAACTTTAGTTCATGCATAGCTAAGATGCAAACTTAAAGAAACAAGACAAAGACCATAATAATTTTGTAGTACTGTCCTAAAGACTCTTATACTTCCCAAGCCCTTGGCAAGGGCCTATGCATATGCTACAATCTCAGAAGATTCCTTGAAAAATGTAACAATAGAGACAGTATAGTTTGAGAAACCATTAATATAAATATCAAGTAAGATATGAAAGAGGGATATAAATATCTGCCAAAAAATGTTTGCCACTGCCACAGAAGATGTTCAGTACAGAGTTCAAATGAAAGGATAGTCAGGTCCTCCAGATGCTTCTGTTACTGTATGACATTGTGCTGACTGCATCAAGCCCCAGGATCTTGCAAAGCCTCCTAAATGAGATCCATAATCAC